CAGAATGGGAACAGAGCTTTGACAGGGGTCGGAGGACTGGGGAAATTCCCACTCTCTCTCTGTGACCTGAATCGAGAGGCTAGTGATGCGGTCCACGGAGCTCTGCCTCGCAGCGCGGAGCAGCGGGGACGGGCCGAGGATGGCTGTGGCGATGAGCAGCTCTCTGCCTCGCTGGGAGGCCCTCATGAATGTTTGTGCATGAAGGCGTCTAGCACAAGAAGGCCCTTATGAGAGCTCTTCGGCTTCTTCCTGGGGCACTGATGACATCCCCCACTCTGTTCTTGTTCCTCTGCTCTATCTTGCTTCCTCTCTTGAGGGTGGACCCACTGGGAGATGTCTTTACACTCCCTGTGGCATCTCCCAGCTGAGAACACAGCCAGTGCCTAGGTAATGGAAGTCACTGAATGAATCTGGTTGTGAGTGGGAGCCACCGGCTCAAGCTCTTTCACAGTGAATCTGGTGCTGCCCTGGAATCTGCATTCCCTGGTGAACAAGGACAAGGAGGGAGACACCGAGCAGGCCAGTGCCCACCAAGCTCTGGGTCTCATCTGTCAGGTGGAAACCGAGCCCCACAGGACACAGCAGCCACACCCCGAGAGGTAAAGAAAGGGACTAGGATCGAAGTGGGAGAACTAAAGGCAGAGCTGAAGGGGCTCCAGGTGGAGGGTGAGGCTAGTAAAAATTGGGGTGTTCCGGAAGCCAGATGTGGTCTGACTCCCTCCTGTAACCCCTCAGGGGGAGCCCCTGTGAGGGGCACAAACACTCAGCTCTGGAAAGCATGCGGTCACATCGCCAACATGTTAGCAGAGTGCCATCTGCCTGGGAACAGCCTCCTCTGTGCAGAAAGCTTGCCATGCCTCCTGGTGATGCCAGCTGCAGGCTATGTGCTGGGGCAGCTGGCACCACCCTTGGACCTGCTCTCCCCTTCTAAGCAAGACAGAGACCCTGCTAAGGTGAAAGTATGAAACCAAGCACAGGGCTCCCAGATCAGAGGTGTGGCTCAGTAATGCTCTAAAATTGGGTCCAACTTTGGAAGACCCAGCGTCCTCTCTGCTGGTCAGGCAAGGTGTGAGCCCACCAGGGGCTCAGCTCCCCAGATGCCCTCATGCAGTGCTGAGCCCTGAGCTGGGGGGCACTTTACTTCTCCACATATCCAAGCTCTGCCTCTCCATAATCATGGTTTGGGTCCTTAAGAAGCAGTTCCTGAGTGGATTTGAGCACAAATCGTTTATTTGAGAGGTACTGGCTATGGGGGGAGCCCCAGCAGGAGAGCAGGCAAATGACCCAGAGAAGGGAAGGCGGCCAGGGAAGGGCTATTCTAAGCCCACTGCCAAAGCAGGTACTAGGGCTGCATCCTGTGGGGAAACTGAGAAACAACACAAAACACAGGATCTGGAACCATCCACTCCCAAACCTACGTAAGGGGTAAGCTGAGATGTTTATATGTCAACTCATGATGATCTTCAGCTGAGGGCTGCTTCTGGGGGATGTTCATTCTAGGCTTTTCTGGGGTCTCCCAGTGCAGGGGTTGGGGGTCCCGAGGCTCTGAGAGACCAAAGCTGGCAGTTGAAAGTTAGCCCAACCGTGTAAAAAGGGATACAGTCATAACACTTATGGTGTCCGCTTCACCCTCTGAGCTCCAACATGTGTTCATAGCACCCCAAAAGCATTTATTAAGCACTCCCAGTTTGTACCAAGTTTAGAAGAAGATACAAAGAAGACTCGGTTATCTCTGAACCTAATGGTCAGATAGGCACAAGGCAAAGCCATTGTCGTGCAACCTCACAGCAAAGGCAAGCCAACATCAGAGCACAGAGGAGGGAGTGGGGAAGTGGAGAAAGCTTCCATGAAAAGAGAAACCTTTGCTCCTGATGGCTTTTAATATCACCTATACGTTAATAACTGTCAAATTTACATATCAGCCTGAACTGCTTCCCTGAATTTCAGACTTGTAGACCTGACTGCCTACTTCCTTCTGCTTGTATGTTTCATACGGATCTATATTTGTTATCTATTGCTAGCTAACAAATGATCCCAAAACTTAGCAGCTTAAAACAACTGGCATTTATGATCTCACATGGTTTCTGAGGGTCAAGTTTCCAGGAGAGGCTCAGCAGGGTGGTTCTGGTCTGGAGTCTCTCATGAGGCTGCAGTTGAGATGTTGACCAGGGCTGCAGTCATCTGAAGGCTGGACTGGGGCTGGAGGATCTGCTTCCAAGATGATGCATTCACATGGCTGCTGGCTGGAGACTTCAGGTTCTTCCCACACACCCTCTCCATAGGGCTACTCATCATATGACAGCTGGCTTTCCTCAGAGCAAATAACCCAAGAAAGAAAGGGAGACAGAGAATGAGACAGGCAGGGGGTACAGTCTTTTACAACCTAATCTAAACACTGGCATAACATCACTTCTGTCACATTTTATTGTTCACACTGACCAACCCTGGTACAGTGTGGGAGGGGATACCAAGAGGTGTGAATACCAAGAGGTAGGGCCTGGCCAGTCACAGTGGCTCACGCCTGTAATCCCAACACTTTGGGAAGCAGAGGTGGACAGATCACTTGAGCCCAGGAGTTTGAGACCAGCCTGGGCAACATGGTGAGACTGCATCTCTACAAAAAACATTTTTAAAAATTTATCTGGATATGATGGTGCATGCCTATAGTCCCAGCTACTCAGGAGGCTGAGGAGGATCACTTAAGCCCAACAGGTTAAGGTTACAGTGAGCCATGATCACACCACTGCACTGCAGCGTGAGTGATGGAGTGAGACTCTGTCTCAAAAAAAAACAAAGGGTTATGGTCTTTGGGGTCATCTTGAAGACTGGTGACCACAGGATCTTAAACTTAACACGCCCAAGATGGAACTCCCGAAGTTTCTTCCTTCGTGCACAAAGCCGGCTTCACTGTCTTCCTCATCTCAGTGAGAAATGGCAAATCCATCTTTTCAGTTGCTCAAGCCAAACCCTTGGAGACATCCTTAACTCTTTTCCTTCCATCCACATACATCCAATCCTTCAGCGAATCCTAGTAGCTCTCCCCTTAAAATATGTTGGAATTCTGACCGTTTTCCACCACCCCCATTGCTACCATCCTGATTTAAGGCACCTGGTTTATCGTCTCTCACCTGGATTATTGCAATGGCCTCCCAAGTGGTCTGCCTGCTTCCATGTTGGAGCCCCACGCAGTCATAGCGATCCTGTTAAAATGCATTACTCCTCTGCTTGAAACCTTGCCATGAGGGCAAAAAGTCCTCACAGGGCCCTTCAGCATCTGACCGCACCACCACCGTCCTAATCTCACATCCTATGACTGCCCATCCTAATCTCACATCCTATGACATCCTAATCTCACCCTCCATCTGGCCACCCTGGATATTCCTGGCACACTCCAAGCACACCCCTGCCTCTGGGCCTTTGCACTTGCTGTTCCCTCTGTCTAGAAAGCGGTTCCCCCAGGCATCCACTTGGCTGGCTCCTCATTGCCTTCAGGTCTTTATGCAGTGCCTCCTGCTTGGAAGGCCTTCCCCTGACCACCTATTTATAAACTTTCTATTTCCTTCCCTGCCTTTGTTTTTCTTCTTAGCATTTTTCGCCACCTCCAAATCATCTATTTTATTTATCTTTCTTACTTGTCTGTCTCCCCCACAGAACGTAAGCTCCGTGAGGATCCCTGTCTGTTTTTTCACTACTCTATTCATAGCATCTAGAATTGTGGCTGACTCATTCAGGATGCTAAAAAACATTTGTTGAATCACCAGAAGGAGGGAACATGAAGAAAGGTATTTCAGTTATCTACCACTTCAGACCTATCCACCTTAACTGGGATGCTTAAAACAACAATCACGTGTTTGGCTCCTGAATCTGCAATTTGGGCAGAACCTGGGAAGACAGCTCATCTCTGCTCACATGACATAGACTGGGGCAGCTCAAAGTCAGAGGTGACCCAACCGTGGGGGCTGGAGTCATCTCAAAGCCATCATTGCTCTCTGGTGATTGTTACTAGCTGTCCCCTGTGACGTCAGCTGGGGTCATCAGCCAGAACCCTACTCTGGCCTCTTCATGTGCTGTTGGCTTCCTCACAATATGGCGAGTTCTAAGAGCACTGCCCCGAGAGGTAAGTAGGGCAAGCTTCCCATTTCTGAAGGCCTTGTCCCAGAAACAAATGCAGTGTCACTTCCACCATTTTCTACCGATGAAGGGGTCACAGAGCCTGGATTCCGGGGGAAGAGACATAGACTCCACCTTCCAATGGAGAAGCAACAAATAATTATAGGGCCATGTTTTCAAGACCACCACATAAAGTAAGAGAAAGAAAACCTTTCCCAGGCCCCTCCCTTGTGCCGAGCTCAGCATAGGATGTTTGCAATCATCAACACACAGGGAAGGACTTGCCCGCGTGCTGGATCATAGAAAGCGGCAAGCATCTGGTGTGCTTCTGTCCTGGCCCATGAACCCAGCGCTCACTAGGAACTCTAACTTCTTTCCTCCAAATCACACTGCCTTTCAGAGATCATCTAGCTTTCTCGTTGTAATATTCCAGGAGGATAACACACTATTCCCCAGAGAAGGTATTCAGTATCAGGCCAGAGTGTGCTGAGACATTCCCAGAGGGATAAGTTACAGACTAACCCAAATGACTTTTTTTGAAGGCAGTGCCGTATCTCCAGCCCAAAGAAAAAGCTAGATCAGGATTTCTTTTTATTTTTTTTTTTCCTCTTTTTTTTTTAGACAGAGTCTCACTCTGTCACCCAGGCTGGAGTGCAGTGGCATGATCTCAGCTCACTGCAACCTCCACCTCCTGGGTTCAAGCAATCCTCCAACCTCAGCCTCCCAAGTAGCTGGGATTACAGGCACCCACCACCATGTCCGGCTAACTTTTGTATTTTTAGTAGAGACGGGGTTTCACCATATTGGTCAGGCTGGTCTCAAACTCCTGACCTCAGGTGATCCACCCACATCGGCCTCCCAAAGTGCTGGGATTACAGGCATGAGCCACCATGCCCGGCAGGTCAGGATTTCTTCACTGGGGTTCTGTCGACATTCTGGGTCAAACCATTCTGTGTTTAGGGGCTGTCCTGTGTGCATTATAGGATGCTTAGTGGCACCCCCAGCCTCCACTCTCTAGATGTCAGTAGCAAGCCCCTCAATCTTTCTGCAGCTATGACAGCTAAAATGTCTCCAGACATCAGTAACCTTCACCTTGGGGGCAAAATAACCCCCAGATGAAAACTACTGGGTTAGAATGATGCTTAAAGTATTATTTGCAGTATTTTCTCAGTTCTGGATCTGTTTGAAGTTTTCTCCCCCGGCTCACTTGTAGCTCCTGATCCCTTTCATCTTCTAGACACCGTGAACCATGTACTTGACCATGTGGCCCACTTCACTGTGATGTTTCACTGTGATGATTGGAAAACTTCGAATCAAAGTTGTTTCCGGGTATATTCCACAGGGACATGCCTCTTTAGTCTTATGTCGGCTCCATTTTACATCATTTCTTCTTTGACCAAACTCTTCATTTATGCCAGTCTTCTTATATGTTATGCATTCTTTTTATCTGTCCTAAATCTTTTCTAGAAGAAAGGAGAGTACAAAGAGCTAAATAAATAACTGCAGTCAGGGTAAATATTCATGGAGATGACGTCACAGAGAGGCAGACACCTGCCTGGAGGGAAATAGGACAAACGGAGCATGAGGGCTTGGCGAGAAGGCAAAACCAGGCAGATGGGAGCCAGATGATGTGTCTGGGCAGTGTGAGTCACCAGAGGGGTGATTAGAGAGGGGAAGATTAGAGAGAAGATGGACAGAGGCTGGGGTGTCAAAACCCTTCCCCCAGGAAAGGATCTTGTTTTGTTGTATTTTCTGTTCACAGGAAAGTCAGGGGAAGGGGTTGTTTGTTCACTCGTTATTTTTGTTTTAGAGACAAGAGTCTTGCTCTGTCTCCCAGGTTGGAGTTCAATGGCACGATCATGGCTTACTGTAGCCTCAACATCCCAGACTCAAGCAATCCTCCCACCTCAGCCTCCCGAGCACAGCTGGGACTACAGGCATTTGCCACCACATCTGGCTTTTTTTTTTTTTTTTTTTTTTTTTTTTTTGTAGAGACTGGGTCTCACCATCCTCCTGCCTCAACCTCCCAAAGTGCTGGGATTACAAAGGTGTTTGCCACCATGCCGGGCCAGGAAGCTCTTTTAATCAATAGCGCTTGCCGACAATCAGACCCCACCTGCCACGTGAATAAGTCACCGTGGAAATGAATCTTCCAGCCCCAGTCCAGCTTCCTAAAGTGATGCTGCGTAGAGCAGAAATGGGCTGTCCCCACCACACCTACCCAAACTGCAGATTCTTGAGCAAAATATATGCTTATTGTTTTTAGACACATTTTAAATTGGCTTGTTGCACAGCAATAGATAACTGGAACATCTTTAAATAACTGTCAATCAACCCCTCCCAGACTGTTTCCTTATCTGAATTGTGAGCCTTCAAGGGTCCATGGAGTGCCTGGCATGGGGAAGGGCCTCCTCTGCCATCAGGTATTGGATATGACCGCAAAGGCAGGCAGGTACTAAGCCAAAACACAGCCGTGCCTCCAGTGCAGCTGACGGACAACACAGATGTGAAACTGAAAGACAGTGGAATAAGCGTGCATTCACTCAGAAATGAGGGCTGGAGCTCCTACCGTGTGCCCAGGGAAGGAGTAGAAGGAAGTACAGAACTGTGGGAAGCAGACAGCAGGGAAATCCCACACTGCTCAGTCCTGGCCCCTTTCCTCCCTCTCTTCTCTCTCTCTGGGGTTCTCATCTCTGCCAGCCACATCTTAATTTTTGTGTATGTCCCAAGATAGTCTTTCCTATGAGTCCCCCACCTGTATATCCAACATCACCTCCTGGGTACATCGAAGACCCTCACCCTCAACAAGTCCAGATCCAACCTTGTACCTACCCCCACCTCCCAACATCAAGTTGATCTTCTTCTGCTCTCCCCAGGTCAGACAGTAGCTTTGTCCAGGGCCATAAGTTATCAGCTGACCACCCTGCCTCCTCCTCCTCGCCCTCCTCCCCATATCCTAAATGTCACTGAGTCCTTATGGTTTTGCTTCCTAAATACCATTCAAACTGGTCCACTGCTCTCCGTCTCACAGCCGTCCCCCACCACCATCTCCTGCATAGCCATCGCAATGGCTTCCTTAATAGCCTCCCCCACGCCCATTGCCTCTCCCCTCTCACCTGCCCACACAGCAAGAGCAAGCTTTGTAAAATACCAAATCATCTCTCTGCTTAAAACTTTCCACTGATTTCCTGGTGCACTTAGGTTAAAGGCCCATGTCCTGTCACTATCTACAGCGGGTCCTGCAAGGCCCGGCCCCTGTGGAACCTACCCACTCCACCTCCTCTGTAAGCCCCTCCCACTCCCTGCACTGCTGTCTGTGTTTCAGCCGCCTGGAGCACAGAGCTCGCCAAACTCTCCATGCTCTGTCCTGCCACAGGGCCTTTGCACGTGCTGTTCCCTCAGCCTAATATGTACTTGACTTACCCCCTTCCAACATACACCTTTCTTTTTTTTTGAGACAGGGTCTTGTTCTGTTGCCCAGGCTGGAGTGCAGTGGCACAATCTGGGTTCACTGCAACCTCAACTTCCTGGGCTCAAACAATCCTGCCTCCCAAGTAACTAGGACCACAGGCTCACACCACCACATCCAGCTAACCAACACATACCTTTTCTTTTTTTTTTTTTTTTTTTGAGATGGAGTCTTGTTCTGTTGCCCAGGCTGGAGTTCAATGGCATAGTCTTGGCTCATGCAACCTCCGCATCCCAGGTTCAAGCAATTCTCGTGTCTCAGCCTCCCAAGTAGCTGGGATTACAGGCGTCTCCCATAACGCCTGGCTAATTTTTGCATTTTTAGTAGCAATGGGGTTTCACCATGTTGACCAGGCTGGTTTCGAACTCCTGACCTCAAGTGATCCACCCGCCTTGGCCTCCAACACTTTGAAGAGGCTTTTCCCGCTCTCTCTGACCAGACCAACCCCACTGGTACCAAATGATACCTCTTTCCTGGCATTAATCTCCATTTAATTTTACATTCCTTTGTGTGATTCTTTGATGAATGTCTTCCTTTTATGCTAAATTTAAGCTCTTGAAGATTATGACTGTTTTTTGGTACTGTTATAACCCAAAAAGCTAGTTCAGTGCCCTGGCCAATAGTAAGTACTCAATAAATATTTGTAGGCTGAGGACCATGGCTCGCTCCTATAATCCCAACACTTTGGGAGGCTGAGGCAGGAGGATCACTTGAGTCCAGGGGTTAGAGGCCAGCCTGGGGAACATAGCAAGACCCTGTCTCTACCAGAAAAATTTTTTAATTAACGGGGTGTGGTGGTGCATGCCTGTAGTCCCAGCTACTCAGGAGGCTAAGGCAGGAGGATTGCTTGAGCACAGGAGTTTGAGGCCGCAGTGAGCTATGATTGTGCCACTGTACTCCAGCCTGAGCAACAAGGTGAGACACTGTCTCAAAATAAATAAATAAATAAATATTTTAAAAATAAATATTTAAAAAATAAAATTAAAAATTAAATGTTTTAGAAAGGGCAAAAATAATTGTAGGGGAGATGCTGAGAGGCGAGATGGTTAGTACTCGCTAGAAAACCTGGGCAGCACTTTATGAGGTGGGTGGGACTTGAGGTGACCTTAAAGGAGATTTTTGTGATGATGGAGGCATTTGGAAGGACATTCTAGGTGGGTGGACCAGAATAAACCAAGAGGTGAATAGTGTGTGTGTGTGTGTGTGTGTGTGTGTGTGTGTGTGTGTGTGTTGGATAACAGGAGGATATGGGCCAGGCTAGCAGAGAGGCAGGTTGGGAAAAGGTGGGACACCAGGTAAGCCAGCAGGAGTAGATGACCAAGGGTCTTGAAGGCGGGTGGAGGAGTCGGCATGTAAAAAGCATGGGAGATTTCAGAGCAGAGTGGTAATCCCAGGCAGGCACTCAGCAGGGCAGCGAGTAGCAAAGCCTCACAGCAGAGCAGGAGGGACCCAGGAGTGTGGACGGCTGGAGGCAGAGAGGAGGCTGGTCAGCATCCAGGCGTGCACCACCAAGGACCTGGAGGGAGGGCAGAGAGGACAGAGAGGGCAAGGTGGATACGGAGGCATTCAGGAGAACGCCATCCCCCAGCTGGGTGGCTGCTGTCTGCAAAGGACCATACAGGAAGGTCCCCCTCCACACTGGAGTGTCAAGAACTGGTCTGTCAGACAGAAGGCAAAAGACACCAGTGCCATTTCCCCGGCTCCGACACTGCCTGGCTCCATGCTCTGCTCTGTGCCCCCTTCCAGCTGAGTGGATCAATATCAGCCATCAGGGCTGAGCCAAGAGACGGAGGACAAGGTTAGCTGTCTGTAGGGAACACATGGAACACCCAGAGCAGGCCTGCCTGGGTGACTTATTGCTTATTAATAATATAAATATGTAAATGTTACGAGGGCCATATTGATCCCAACATATGAGCCATCCATCATGAGAGTGCAGAACGGGGTGTTATAAATATCAAATAATAAGTCTGCAGCCCAAGACTTATCAATATAGGTGGGCTAAGGCTGGGACAGTCCCCAAGGCAATTTTATAATGAGAGCAACTCCAGCAACCTCCGGCCACCACCCCCGCCACAGTGTGTGTGAAGGGGAGGGGGAGACAGAGGACCCCTCAAATGGAAAGGAAATATTCATATGCAGGGATTCTAGAGAGAGAGCCTCCCCTTTTCTCCTTTACCATGGCAGGAAAAGCTATCATCAGAGCTTCCAATATCTCCAACCTGGCGTAGAGAGGGTTCTCATCCCCACGTATCCTGAGGCAAAATAGCCTAAGGTTTAGCATGTGGGTGTGAAGTCAGGGAGACCTGGGCATGGAATCCTGCCCTGCCCACTGTTCACCAGCTTCGTAAACTTCACAAGTTTAACTGCTTGGAGCATTGGTTTACTCATCTGTAAAATGGGAATGTTGACAGCAATAGGCAAGGTTGTAAATATTAAATGGGACAATGTCTATAACCACCAGTGTCCGTGGTAGGTATGACAACTATGGCAGAGTGGCCAGGGGCTCCTGTGCCGTGAGACCAGGGACTGTATTAGCCCGTTCTCACACTGCTATGAAGAAATACCCAAGACTGGGTGATTTCTAAAGAAAAGAGGTTTAATTGATTCACAGTTCTGCATGACTGGGGAGGTCTCAGGAAACTTATAATCATGACAGAAGGCACCTCTTCACAGGGTGGCCAGAGAGAGAACAAGTGCCAGCACGGGAAACGCCAGACACTTATAAAACCATCAGATCTCGTGAGGACTCACTCACTCTCACCAGAACAACATGCGGGAAACTGCCAGCATGATTCAATTACCTCTGCCTCGTCCCACCCTTGACACATAAGGATTATTACAGTTCAAGGTGAGATTTGGGTGGGGACACAGAGCCAAACCATGACACTGAACAGCTCCAATCCAGAGTATCCCATCACTACCTCCAGAAGATGTGCCCAGTAAAGTGACATCACACTTGAGGAAGGGGCAGTCTAACCCCAGTCATACCCCAGCCAAGCCCCAGTTTGGTTTTCCTTGTGAATTTCAGGTTGAATGCCCACAAAGCTCGTGAAGGCACAGGCAATGGGGCTCGGAAATCAGCCGGTCCTTACACGGTCTCGGCCTTCAGGAATTTCAGGCTACAGTGGGGGAAGGGACACCTAAAGCCTGAGGCTGAGCAAGTGCTGTTAGAGGGGTGCTCAGTGCCCCAGGGGCCTAAAGAGCAAGGTCATGTCCAGCTGAGGGGAGTTGAGAGGGGCTTCCTGGAGATGAGCCTAGAGTGGGCAGCAAGAGGAGGGAGTGGATCCAAGCTCACCCACCAGCCTGGGCCCTGTGCAGAGCAGGAGCTGGGTGGGATGTTCCCATTCTTAGCAAACCTGGAGGGAGCTCAGGCCTGTGGCTATGAGCCTCATGCCCAAGCCTGGGGGCTACTTCATTCAGCATGAATTTTTTTGCATTAGTGTTGGATTTTGATTATTTTTTATATTGCGTTAAAATATTGTTTATCTTGATGACTGCATTTTTGGTGCCCCCTTAAATTTTGAGGTATCCAGCGTGATGCCTCACCCTGCTCCCAGCTCTGCCAGTGACTGCATTTTCTGGGCTTATTCCCCTTGCTCACCAGCTCTCGGCTTCCAGTTATCCAACCCACTTTCAGCTGGCTCCAACTCGGCCTTCCGAGTCTTCTAGACTCTGACTCCGTCTCCCCATTCCCCACCCCAGCCCCCGTGGTCTCACAACCCACCGCAGTGATGAGCAGCCTTTGCACCTGGTGGCGGAGGCAGTGCAGGGAGGAGAGCTCCTGCCATCAGTGCCTCCTCCCTAGGGAGCACCCGCATCACCCCAGGCTGCATGCTTTCTGGCACTATCTGGTTGTCTGCCCCCACCCCAGCTCCTGAGAGGTGGACACCGTCAGCCTCCTTTGTCAGGTGGGGAACCTGAGACCCAGGGAGACTGTGGGACTCGCCAAATTCACACAGCTGGTTGAGCAGTGGTGGATCTGGGATGTGGTTCTAGCAAAATGCTCTTTTCACCAGAACCCAACATTTCCCAAATTGTGATCCTTGGAACCCATATTGCATGGGCTGTATATTTGTGAGACCTGAAAGGATCGGCTTGATGGTCAGAGAAGCTTGACCTTAACTCAGCATTTTCCAAACTCATTGACCTCAAAACTCTTCTTTCGTGGAACATCTCCCTGGGCCAGTTGTGCATCTGATACAGTCAAAAAACACTGACCTGTTTTTAGCGTGAGAGTTTTCCAGCAGGTCCAAATGGGTCCTGCCAGGACCCATACTTGAACCTTGACCTTGTAGGGGAGGGAAGCTTTCTTTTCTCACTCCTAGATTCATGGCTGAGACACCTGTAACAAAAGACAGCTTAATAAGAGAAGAGCATACAAACGTATTTAATGTAAGTGTTATGTGGCACAGGAGCCTTCAGAAATGAAGACCCAAAGAAACAGACGAACCTGTGTATTCCTGTGCTTAGGTTTGCTGAAGAGTGGACAGTTGCACAGAAGTGGATGGGACACAGAGGGTCTGATGTTAACGGTCATAAACTAGGGGGGCTTAGCAAGGCCCGTTTGTTCAGATTCTTCTCTGTGTCCCTGGGTCTTCAGGTCTAAGGATGCTCCTTTTCTCTGGATACAGGAATCGTGCCTCTCACATTAGGGTCTTATGACCTGCTTCAGAGGAAGGGCAGAGGATTCCTTTATGGCCCGTTTCAGGGGAGAAGGGCAGGAGAATGCCAGACAGACCTTCCCTCTTCTACTGTTCCTCAAGTGCCAGGTGCCATATTTCAGGGTAGTGGCTCCTAAACCCCACCAACCTCTACGCTGTACTCCATTTTCCGACTTAGCTTGCCTTGGTGGAAGAGGAAGGAAGAGGAGAGAGGGGCTTTAGGAGAAGCCCAGAATGGACTTTCAGATTTTACATTAACTATTTCTATATTGTTTGATTGTCTCACACTGCACATGAATTACTTTGTGAGGAGGGAGGGAAAGAGGGGAGAAAGAAGAGAGGGGAAGGTGGGGAGTGCTGTGCTGACCCCTATCAACTCCAATGGGAATGGCACCAAGTTCAAGGGGCTGAAGAAGAGATCCGGAGCCAGCAAATGAGACACGGGGTTTTACTGGGGCTTATACAGAGGGGAGAGAGTGCAGTTGGCAGCAGGCTGGGGAGAAGAATCGCAACCGTTTGCAAAAGGCATGCAGTTTCTATGGCACTTTCACTTAGCACCCTCTCGGCTCAGATGTTCCTCATCGATAAGGAATGAATCTCTGGGTTGGACACTCGGGATTCCTTAGCTCGGAACTCCAAACCTCATTCAGGTGTGTCTGCCATACAAGGTCGTGCTCGGGGCATGCTTAAGATATTGCTATCAGGTGCATTGACCAAACGGGGAAGGAGAGAAGAAAAAAGAAAACAGGAGAGGAAAGAAAGGAGGGAAGGAAGAGAGAAGAAGAAAGGGAAAGGAACAGAAGAAGAGAAGGAGGAGGAAGGGAGAGAAGAGAGAAGTGGGGAGAGTGAACGTGATCCTGGGGTTTGCAGCTCCGACAGCCCATCCTCAAGTGAGAGGAAATCTCAGGAATGAGAGCAGGCTCAGCAGGCACAGGCATCCCCCTCCCAGGTGCCCCCTTCATCTTCCTCACTCAGTTCCCACCTCCACCCTCTCCCAACCAAACACCACCAATCACACATGAATTAAAAGCCATTTCCAGGTGAGCCCAGTGGCTCACGCCTGTAATCCCAGCACTTTGGGAGGCTAAGGCTAGTGAATCACTTGAGGCCAGGAGTTCAATACCAGCCTGGCCAACGTGGCAAAACCCCATCTCTACAAAAAATTAGCTGGATATGGTGGTGCGCGCCAGTAGTCCCAGCTACTCAGGGGGCTAACGCATGAGAATCGTTTGAACCTGGGAGGCAGAGGTTGCAGTGAGCTGAGATCGCACCATTGCACTCCAGCCCGGGTGACAGAGCGAGACTCTGCCTCAGAAGGAAAAAAAAAAAAAGCAATTTCCATGACAGAGGCTTTGCATCTGCCCCGGGCCTCAGCCACACAGGCTTTCACAGTTTGCAATCTTTTTGTTCAACTCCCCTCTCTCCCCAGCCATTCTAGGTAGGGTGGAGGGGGCAGCTCAGGGTCTTCTCCCTGCCCCCCAGGCCTGGGCACCATTAGTATTCAGCATCTTCTCGGTAATGGTCCCTCTTCATGCTGGTTTGATTTTATTATTATGCCAACACACTTGCTTAATTCTCTGCTGTCTTTCTTCTGCACTGTTGATTTACACTGTTAGTGTTTTAATTATACAATTCAGCACTCCTTAAAACATGAAAAACTGCTCAACTTTTCAAGCAATTAAAAGGCAGCAGAGTATATCAGCAGATCCGAGACGAGATAAGTAAATCAAGCAATTAAAAAACTCGTTTGGTGAAAATGTAGCAACCCATCCAAAACGAGCGAGGCCGGTGGGCCCTCCGGACCAGAACTTCGGAGAGCGGCGCCTCCTCCATCTCACCTTCCTACCCGGGAACGTGGCGCCTTCTGCCTTACTCTCCTTCTTACTCTCCCTGGGTTGAACGTGAGGCCTCGCTGACCTCAGCCCAGCCTGGCTAAGAGGGCCTGCGTGGGATGACCTCAGGACTGGGCCGACCACAGAGTCAGGTTTTAACCTGGTCGCCGAGCAGCTCACAAACTTGGCCGCATTCCTCCTTTCTCTCGGCCTGTTTCCCATCAGCAAATGGGACTGTACCATGACGTTTTTTGTGTGGGGGTGAGTAAAATATACATAACAAAACTTACCATCGTAAGGGAGAAAAAAGTATCTTTTCCTCACCATCCTAGGTTCACAGCCAAAGCCCCAATAACAAGACAGATTAACAAGAGGAAAGCGTAGAAAGCATACACATTGATTTAATGTTTTACATGAAACAGGAGACTTCATAAGGAAAGGAAGATCCAAAAAAACAAATAAACCTATGTATTTTTTATGCTAGGTTTGATAAAGAAGTGAATAGTTGTGGAGAAGGATGATCAGATGAAAAAGCACGATCTAGGCCAGGCACGGTGGCTCACACCTGTAATCCTAGCACTTTGGGAGGCCGATATGGGCAGATTTCCTGAGTTCAGGAGCTCCAGACCAGCCTGGCCAAGATGGCGAAACCCCGTTTCTACTAAAAATACAAAAATTAGCCGGGTGTGGTGGCACGTGCCTGCAATCCCAGCTACTCGGGAGGCTGAGGCACGAGGATTGCTTGAACCTGGGAGGCGGAGGTTGCAGTGAGCTGAAATTGCACCACTGTACTCCAGCCTGGGCGACAGCAAGACTCTGTCTGCAAAAATATATATGATCTAAAGGTCATACACTGGGGGCACCTAGCAAAGCCTGCTTGTTCAAATTCTTCTCTGCATCCCTGGGTCTTCAGAGATAAGGCCGTTCCTTTCCTCTGGGTACAAGGGAGGGTACATCTCACATGAGGGTCTTATGACCCACTTCAGGGTAAGGTTTCGGAGAAGGTGAGAGAGACCTTCCCGTTTCTGCTGTTTCCTCAAATGCCAAGGTGCATATCTGGGTGTAGCCTGCCTGAACGCCATTATCATCTTTCCCATTTTTAAGTGTACAGTGCAGTGGTGTTACATTCATATGGGTCATTCACATTTGTATGGTACAGTCATACCGTTGCCTAATTGTCATCACCATCCATCTCCAGAACTCTTTTCATCTTGCAGAACTGAAACTCTACACCCATTGAACACTCCCCATTCCCCTTCTCCTGTATCCCTGGTTTCTAAGCTGGTTTCCATGGAGCCCCAGGGTTTCATCTCAGGCCCCTAGAGGGCTGCTAAGAGCAGAAGCAGGTAGCAGGGAGATGAGTAAGCAAAGCTCCATTTTAATCTGTTTAAGCTATTAGGCTTCCAGATTTGATTGCATTTGAGTATAAGGCTCTGAAGATTATTTTTTGAAGTCAGAAAATGACTTTATGAGACCATCTGAAAGACCTAGATTGGGAAGGACTGACTGAGAGGCTTGAGTTTTTTCTAAAGGAAAGTTCTGCCCACGAGCAAGAAAGATGGGTCCTGCTTCTCTGGGTCTAGGGCAGGGCAAAATACACTCCCCCCAAATGAGCTGGGCTCACCACAGGAATCCAGGCTCCTCCCAGGCCTTAACCAGTTCCCTCCCTCACGAACTCTTGGCATCGTGACTTCAGGCTCCAGGGGACCCAGAGAACCAGGGACTCTCCGTTGCACTGAAAGTGAGGGTGAGGAGGGTGGGGACAGGGTGGGAGCAGGGACAGGAGGTGTGCAGCCCACTTGTCCATCACACAGAGAGCTGGAAAGACCAGTGGTGATACCCAGCGCCCACTCGCTGGCCAGGCTGTCTGGGAGGAGGGTATTGACCCAGGCAAGAAGGGAGGCAAGGTGGCAGGTGCTCTGGAGTGGGCACTGAAGAAGATGGAGGGGCCGAGAGACAGCTTCAACCCGCAGCATATGGCTCAGGGCACAACCTCCCTGAGTGAACACACTTCCCCATCCTTCATCAGCCGCTGTCAGGAGGATTATAAATGCGGAGAGTCGGTATCCAGAATCTTAACCATGTTGGTCACAGCAGGAAGAGGCAAGGCCAGTGCCCCTGAGCTCTTGGCCCTGGGACCCGGGTTCAGGTTTCCTACAAGAGAACAAGCACACCCTGGAGTGTGCCTGGATCCAGCCCTCCCAGAAACTCTCCCCGTTCAGGGGAAGAGGTACAGGATACCTTATCAAGGAAGCAGAGGGCTTCTCTGACATTTCCTTTTCAACCTGGTACCTTCCCTTTAATGACACCCAAGGGACTAGGCAATCAGAATCTAGAAACGGTATCCTTTCAAGAAGTGGCTATTTGCTGGTGGTGTATCTCTCCACCAGGTCTTGTTCAGCAGACAGAGCCTCCCAGCCACCAACGACAGCGGAAAGTAGTCATGGGTCACTATCCAAATGAGGTGGGGGATGGGGGCACAGACAGGTCCTGTCTTTATGATCTCGTCCATCCCCCCAGCTCCAACCCTGTCCACACACTGAGCCAGATCTTCCTGGGTCACCTGCTGGGCCACAGCTCACCCTGGTTCCAGTCACATGTCTGCCCTTGGACACTCAGGCCAGCCTCTCCCCTGGGTTCTGTTCACAAACCCTCCCAACCTGTCCTGCAGTCTCTTCAAGGTTACTCCCCCTGAGCAATTTCTGTTCCAAACAGTTTCATCCGGCTGTTCTTTGTAATTCCAGAACCTCCATTAATCATTCTTAAGCTCTTTGAATACAATATTTTCTCTAAGAACTGAAATTTCTTCACAACTCTGTACTTTCCTGCCATCTCCAATTAACCACACTCATCAGTCATTAACATAAAGCATTAGCATATCTATAACTTCTGTATACCTTGATTAATCTGGCTTGGATTTTTCTCCCAATTGCACCTAATAGGCTGAGGAATGACCAGGATGTAAGGGAGTGTGCACCTCACCCAGCCTCAGCATTAAAATGTTAGAGCAGAAATGAAGTCCCAATGTTGTTAAATCCAACTCTTTCTTTTTGCACATAAGGAAACTGGGCATTGGAGAGGTGAAGTAGTATCCCTCCTCCTCCCACCAGCCACCCCAGGTAGCGTTGCCCCTAGCGTGCCTCCTGCAAACTAGTTCCCAGAAATGCTCTGCAAAAAGCAAAGGGAAGGGGTGGTATATAGAGACCAGGGGACCTGCAGTCAAGTAAATTCAAGAAGGTCTGAATACTAAGTCATTCCCTTGCACATTCATGTTAAAGGCTTTTGAGAAGTCTTACAGTAAAGAAGCCTGTTATCTTTATTTAACCCAAAATTTGTTTAAGCATTAGCTCTTTTTTTCCTCTATGCCACCTATATTATTTATATATTGCTATATTTAAAAATTACCCCCGGCTGGGCAGGGTGGCTCACACCTGTAATCCTAGCACTTTTGGAGGTCAAAGCAGGTGGACTACTTGAGGTCAGGAGTTCAAAACCAGCCTGGCCAACATGGTAAAACCCCGTCTCTACTAAAAATACCAAAAAAAAAAAAAAATTAGCCAGGTGTGGTGGTGTGCACCTGTAATCCCAGCTACTCAGGAGGCTGAGGCAGGAGAATAGCTAGGACCCAGGAGGCAGAGGTTGCAGTGAGCCGAGATCACACCACTGCACTCCAGCCTGGGTAACAGAGCAAGACTCCATCTCAAAAAAAAATAATAAAAAATAAATAAAATAAATAAATAAATAAAATTATCCCCAAAGCTAAGTAGCTTAAAAGAATAGACATTGCTATCTCACATAGTTTCTGAGGATCAGGAATCTATAAGTGATTTAGCTGGGTGGTTCTGGCTTGGGGTATCTCATAAGGCTGCAGTCAAAATGTTGGCAGGGGCTGCAGTAAGCCAAAGGCTTGACTAGGACCGGAGGGTCTGCTTCCAAAGCCAAAGGCTTGACTAGGGCTGGAGGGTCTGCTTCCAAGAGGACTCAGTCACTCACATGGAACTGATTGTTCGCAGAAAGCCTCAGTGCCTTGCCATGTGGGCTCTCCATAGGACTATATAAGTAAACTCATGGCATCGCAGCTGGCATCTCCCAGATGGAGCCAGAAGAGAGAGAGAAGCTTTAGTGTCTTTTATGACATCATTGGAAGTCACACACCATCATTTCCACAATATCATATTGGTTACACAGGTCAGTCGTACTTGGTGTGGGAGAGACGACAAGAGGGTGTGAATACCAGGAGATGAGAATCATTGGCCGCCCTCTTGGAGGCCAACTACCACACCAGCTATTAACTCTACACATCTAGAGAACCGCTAACCCAGAACCTACTCTATGGGGATTAAAATACAACCAAAAAAGGTATGAATGTCCCAGATCCTTGACCTGATGTGACAAAGATCAAATGCTACTGGTGTCCTCGCCTGGCCCCACTTTCTAAGGACCAGCAATTGCCTTCATTGCTCGACTTTCTCTGGTTCCCCCCTTCCATGAGGCTCTGCTCTTCCTCCCTGCTGGTCCAGGCAGACACCAGGGCCTGGTGCCTCTACTGAGCAATGGTCTCTGGGCTCCAAGGCAAGGCCCAGATGCCAACCTTCTCTCCACCTCAAGTCAGCTCCCAGCCTCAGATAAGGCAAGACTGGCTCCCCTTTTTGATATGGGAAGCCCCTACTGAATTGAGTTCCTGATTCCAGTGTGAAAGCAGCTATAATAAGAACAAGAATTGCTGACACTTATTAAGTGCTTATGGTATGCCAGGCACTGTTATGGCCACTAATATGTACTATATTATTTAATCCTCACAATATATACCCATTTGATAGATAATAAAATCGAGGCTCTGGCCAGCCAACGAATATGGCCAACAGCACATAGGTGAAAGTGGCATGACTGAGATTAAACTGGGACTGTCTGATTCCAGATCCGAGGTTGCTGACTATTCAGCTATGTTACCTCCAGCTACCAGGTTACCCATAAAGCAGAGATGACTCAAATATTTGAGGCTGTGTCATGGGAGACTTCTTCTTACTCAGGTAACCTTCTCCTCCCACTGCTCCAGGAGTTTCAGTGACCCCACACACACCCGCCCAGCTCCTCTAGGAGAATGCTTTTGAATCATAAGATTTTAGAAGACCAAAATGCCATATTCAAATAATATTTACAGACAGCCCTCCAACAACAACAACAGAAAGGTTGTTTCCTCATGTGCCCCTTTAAAAAGAATTTTGAGAGATATATTTATTGAAAGATAGCTAATTGTTTAAAGTAAAAATATTAGCATTGTAAGTTGGGGCGTATTATATGCATAGTTGTAAAATACATAATAACAGTAGCACAAAGGAGTGAATAGAATTTTCCTGTACTAAGATTTTTATATTTCATGTTTAGTGTTACAATATTAATTCTAAGTATACTGTGATAGGTTAAGGATGAGTAGAACAACCACCAAAAATAGACAAAGAAATGTAGATAAAAAGCCAATTGAGTTCTTAAAATTAAATTTTTTTTAAATCAAGAAGGCAGGAAAAGAACAAAACACAGGTGAGACAAGACAACCAGAGAACAAAATAGTAGGTGTGGCTGATAGACTTTAAGATGGTCCCCAAAAATCCCCACCTTCTAGAATTTACACCCTAGTGTAAGATACTCCCTGGAATATAGGCAAGATTTATGATTTGCTTCTAACCAATAGAATACAGAAAGATGACAGGATGCCCCTTCCATGACATCCATTGTATTACCAGATTCTCTCCTTTGTTGACTTTGCTGATACAAACTTCTATGTTGTGAGCATTCCTCAAAGGGCATGGAACTGAGGGTAGTCTCCGGCTAACAACCAACAAGAAACTGAGGCTCTCATTACTAACAGCCTGAGATTAGCCAAATCCTACCAGCAACCTCATGACCTTGGAAATAAACTCTTCTCCAGTCAAGCCTTCAGATCAGACTCTAGCCCTTAATAAGACCGTGATTGTGGCCTTGTGAGACATCCTGAAGCAGCTAAGCTATGCCTAGATTCCTGACTCACAAAGACTGTGAGATAATAAATATGTGCTATTTAAGCAAGTAAATTTATGGTACTCTGTTATAAAGCAATAGATAACTATTACAACAGAACAGTAGACCTACATCAGATCATACCAATAATTACATTAAGTATAAATGGACTAAAAACTCAAAATAAGAGGGAAGAGTATCAGATTGGGTTACTTACTATTTAAAATAAAAGGGGTGTATTTTAAATTACACACTTAGGTTAAAAGTGAAAGTATGAAAAAAGATATATCATGCAAACAATAAACATCAGAACGGTGATGTCTCTATAATACTATGAGATAAAGCAAACTTCAAGATGAAGAATATTACCAGAGACAGAATGGAACATTGCATAATGATAAAAGGATAAGTCCATCAAAAAGACATAGCAGTCCCAAAATGTATGTATCTACTAACAGAATTTCAAAATATATGGAAGGAAACTAACAAAACTATATAAAGAAATTGACAAATTTGCAATCATAATTGGAAATTTTAACATTTCTCTCTTAATACTTGATAGGACAACTAGAAAAAAATCAAAGGACATAGAAGATGTAAATAGCACTGTCAATCAACTTGGCTGAATCGATGTTGATAGAACATTCTATCCAACAATTGCAGAGCATACAATCTTTTCAAATTATCACAGAATATTCACCAAGATAGACCATATTCTGCAACATTAGTCTTGATAAACTTGAAACATTCAAATATTACAGCATACTTCTCCATTGAAAGAAAATAAGAAAACATGTTGAATTGAATGATAATGAAAATATATTAAAATCTATGAGAAAAACTCTTTCCACTCATGGAGATGTAACTGCTACAAGAATTGCCCTCTTATTGTAATCAACCAGAAAACTGGAGAAAATATAAAAAACAGCTGTTTTTAGATACTGGACTATGGACAGAACATAACAGTGATCCCTTAAATAAAAGAACAAACAAGGTAAGGCCCAGCTTACAGCTAAGAGGATTTCCAAGCCTCAGCAAAGCGAGGAGGAACTCCAACAGAGCAAAGGGTCTGGCTAAGATAAGAAAAGAAATGTTGGAGTTTGTGGAATCTGAGGGGCCGAAATTGGGGGCATAACACTGGGCAGAAAGGAGACACAAAAAGAGAGAGCATGCAGAAGATGTCCAAAAGAGTCACTGCAAATCTTCAGCTAAGCATTGATCTGCATGTGTAGAGAGTAAAATTCCATGAGGCAGGGGAAGGAACCACTTGAAAGCAATGGATTCAACCATTCCTAAAGCTCACACAGGTCTGGGAATGTTTAGCAAGCTTGTTTTCCCACGAACCAGAGTGGCAGGACTTGATAACACACAGAATCTCATAGAGTCCTCAGAAGGGTATTGATTTAGTAGTGGGGATAAATTAGCTCTAGACTAAGTGATGTTCTGAAAAAGCCTGAACAAAGACTAAGAGCAAGCCTCAAAGGGATCAAACTGATCCCCAAGTTAATTTAATTGTATGCCAGAATGAAATCCAAAACATTTTAAAGAAATAAATAAAATCCAGCACAAATTCACAATGTTCAACATTTAATCAAAAATAGCAAGTCATGAAAAGATGTAGAAAAATGTAACCCATGACCAAGAGAAAACAGAGCAAGAAATTACAGAAATAATGGCATTAAGACATTTAAAAATGATGACAAATACTTTAATAGGCTTGAGTGGCAGTCCCCAACCTTTTTGGCACTAGAAACTGGTTTTGTGGAAGACAGTTTTTCCATGGACAGTGTGGGGGATGATTTCAGGATGATTCCAGTGCATTACATTTATTGTACACTTTATTTCTATTATATTACATTATAATATTTAAGGAAATAATTATACAACTCATCATGACGTAGAATCAGTGGGATCCCTGAGCTTGTTTTCCTGCAACTAGATGGTTCCATCTGGGGGTGATGGGAGACAGTGACAGATCATCAGGCATTAGATTGTCATAGGGAGTATGCAACCTAGATCCCTCACATGCACAGTTCACAATAGGGTTCATGCTCCTATGAGAACCTAATGCTGCCACTGAGGAGGTGGAGTTCAGGTGGTAACGTGAGCAATGGTAAGCAGCTGTAAATACAGATAAAGTTTCACTAGCTGGCCAACTGCTTACCTCCTGCTGTGCAGCCCCATTCCTAACAGTCCACAGCCCAGTACCAGTCTGTGCCTCAGGGGTTGGGGACCCCTGGGCTAGAGACTATAAAATAAAACAAGAACATGATGAATAGAGAAATACAATATTTGTAAAATCCCCAAAATATCTTTTAGACACACAAAAAAAATGCAATCTCCAAAAGAAAAAGTAAAAATGTATTTGAGGGGACTAACAGCAGATTAGATACTGCAGAAGATCACTGATCTTGAAAGTGGAGCAATAGATCCTATCTAAAATTGAGCACAGAGAGAAAAAGAATAGAAAAAAAGAGAACAACCAGAAAATAAGTGACCTGCAGGACAGTATTAATGTTCTAACCTATGTGTAATTGAAACTCCAAAAAATATATATATTTGCAGATGTAATAATTGGCCAGGTGTCGTGGCTCACGCCTGCAATCCCAACACTTTGGGAGGTTGAGGTGAGTGGGTCACTTGAGGTCAGGAGTTCAAGACCAGCCTGGCCAACATGGTGAAACTCTGTCTCTACTGAAAATGTAAAAAATTATCCGAGCCCTGTGGTGCATGCCTGTAATCCCAGCTACTCAGGAGGCTGAGGTGGGAGAATTGCTTGAACCCAGGAGGCCTCTGTGAGCTAAGATCACACCACTGCACTCTAGCCTGGGTGACAGAGAGAAACTCCATCTCAAAAAAAAGAGAGAGAGAGAGAGAGAACAAGAGAGAGAGAATAATCAAATTATTTACAAATTGGATGAAAATGATAAACCCACAGATCCAGAAGCTCACTAAACCCCAAACAGAATAAACATTAAAACACACACACACACACACCAAGGCACATAATCAAATTGCTTAAAAGTTGTGCTAACAAGCTGGAGGGGAAAAGACACATTTTGAAGAGGATTAAAGATAA